ACGAACACGTGGCGTAAAAAGCCGGCCCCCGATTTTTACGATGTTACATGCATATTTAGAATATGAAGGCATTTGAAGAGCCATGCTTTTCAGGGAACATGTCTTAACTGATGTTCTTCCATACTTGCATAATAAGAATGAGTAATATTCACAAATTATTTTTCACCTCTTCCCAGAACTCAACCTTCTCTTTAAGCACTGTTTGACAAAACGTTTATTTACTAATTTATACTATTTTTTAATTCTTCCTCACATTGATTATTGTTTAACTGTTTGGGGATCACTGAAAATGAAAGATTTAAAGCGACTACAGAAATGTCAAAACAAATATTGTCGTTTAGTATTAGATGCAGATTATTATACGCCTGTACAATTTATGTTAAATTCTTTAAGGTTGCAATCCGTCAAACACAGATTGGAATATAACTATCAAGTACTTATGTATAAAATCCTGAATAATCTTGCTCCTGTTTATCTAAAACAAGCTCTACCCGTATCCCACGAGATCAATTTCAATGCATCAATTGTACCTTGCCAAACCCGGAACCGATTAAAAAAAACAGACCTTCACGTACACAGCAGCAAAGTTATTCAACTCACTACCCATACTGACCAAATGTTCCGCCTCACTACCCATTTTTAAACGAAAAGTCCGTGAAATTCAATTCAAGTGACTTAATTTTGTGATCGCTCACATGAAGTATAGCTACCACCCTCTCCCTCTCTCTCTCTCTCTCCCTCTCTCTCTTTCGTTTACTCTCTCTCTCTCTCTCCTCTTCCATTTTCATCTAATCTCCTATTTGTATAAAATGTTTTATAGTTTGTTTATATTATGTTGTTTTTAATTATTGTATATTTTGTATATTTGTATGTGTAATGTAATATATTTGAAATGTAATTTGTTTGTGTACAGCAGGGCTCCCTTGTAAAGCAGGCCTTGCGGCTTGAATGGGACTACCCTGCTTTTTATAAAGAAAACATGAATAAATAAATAAAGTAAAGGTTCTGTATGCATTATTTGCAAGATTTATGAAAGGCCAAAATTGAAATAAATAATGTTTCATGTAAATTTCGTGGGGCACTTATGGAACTCTAAAGTGTTACATAATTTTGTTTTTAGAGTTTACGCCAATTAGGGGTCCATTTTAAAGTTTATACGCCGTTTAGGGTCCATTTTAGTTTCTTACGCCATTTGGGAGTGAGATTTACAGAACCGTACTCCAATAAGGGGTGAAATTTTCTACACCGATTACGCCATTTAGGGTCCATTTTTGAGGTGCTCTGACGAGCACGCATACCACTTTGGTATGCGAGTGACCCCCGGGAATTTCATGCGTAATATTCGACTTAAAACATAGCGTTAATCAGACAGAATCATTCAAACAGAAAACGCTAGTCAAGCGGGACTGTTCTGAAGGCACCATCATCATTCAATCTCGTTTCGAGAGTATAAAGGTCGGCTAATAAATCAAGATCGTTGTGGCGTGGGCCTAACAATGGAAGTTACAAACTGATTCAGCCGAGGATGCAGGCTCGAAACTGAGTCACGCATTTCGGATGGCGACGTTAAAGGTCGGTCCACAGACGTAAACAATCATAATTTTGTATCTGATCTGATTGATACACGTCTGTAAAAAAAAAAACCCAATTACATACACACACAAAAAGAAGATAACGAACCTTGATCAATTTTGGGTTTAGATGCAATGAGGCATGATTTAAATGAATTTTGACAAAGGCTAGGGTGATGCAATCTTCGTGCATGACCAATACATTTAGAGTTATCCAGGGGGCGTTTCATGAAACAATTAGTCGGTGGTTTTCATCGACTTATATCATGTTCACTGACAATTTAGTCAGCGCTGACTAAATTTGACCAATCACAGTCCTGGAAAATAGTCGGTGACAAAAGAATTGTCGGTGAACATGATATTAGTCGTAAAAAACACCGACTAATTGTTTCATGAAACGCCCCCCAGGGCCCTGTCTTATATAGAGTTGCGATCGATCCAAAAGATCAATAGCAAGTCCTCCAACCAATCACAAGTTTGCAGTCTCCTGTCTCGTTTATACAAGTATTATAGTTGCGATAGATATCAATCGCAAATAAGTTGCGATTAATAATTATCAACTCTTCATAAGAAAGGGCCCAGTTGTTGTTTATGTCTGCATGTCTGTGTGCCAGTGTCTGCCTGCCTCTCCCTCTCTCTCACTCTCTCTCTCTCTCTCTCTCTTTCTCCCTCTCTCTCTCTCTCTTTTCCGTCGATTCATTCATTTGTAATTCAATGTTTCATTTTTTAAGTTGAAAATCCCTTCTTCTACAGTCCAAGTAATTTTGTCGGAGTAAGTAGTACAAACTTATTTACCTTCATATTTCTTCGAAGCAGGGATCATTCTTGAAAATAATGTCCTAAAATATCGGACAAGCAAACAAGAGAAAAAGTTCTAACAGTTTCTTTATTGTTTAAAGTCCAAACATATTTCAAAACAAAAACAAAAAGGAAGGTTCAAACTTTTGGAGAGATCTTAGATTGAAGAAAAGAAAATCTGTGAAAAGTGGGCTTTTAAGCTCAAATATAATTAGGTTGACTACTCCGGTGTCATGTATTTTTCATATACACGTACCACGTTTATCACTCTCTCTCTCTCTCTCTTTCTCTCGTTTTCTCTCTCTTCCACCTTTTCTCTCTTTCTCCCCTTTTACTCCTCTATTCTTGAACCTATCTCTCTCTACATGTTTGGAGTAATTATCCTCATACCATTTGTAAAAAAAATAGTAGTAATAATTTCAACAACAACAATAATAATAATGATAATAATGATAATGCTTCTCATTATTATTATAATTACAATAATAACATAAAGGATAATAATAGGATAATAATGAAAATGATAACCATAAAACTAATAATAATTGTGTAGTAAAAATAAAAGTAATGATAAAATAATAATTTGGTTCTAATCTGCCGGTTTAAGGCCATTATATTTTCATCTCTTAAAAAACAAAAAAAAAGCTCAGATAGGCCTATATAATTTGAACATGAAATTTTTAAAATCTAATTTTACTCCATATAATACTTTTAATAGCATCTTATTTTCAAAAACAATATGAGAATTGAGAGGTTCTAAGTTCAGACGAAATAATGATGAACCATTAGAGTACGCTGATAAAAGAAAAAAACTGTCTCACATATGGAAACGTTGTATCATCCGCTCAATCTGACTTGCGTGCATAGAACAAAATAAGCATTTTTTCATGAAAAAGTGAAGATTTCTAAAATGTGCGTTTCTTTCCAGCATTGGGGCGCCCGGAAGTCACTCGGGTAACATTTCATAAAATATAATATAAAAAGACCATATGCAAATTTTCTGTACTTTCGTCGGAAAAAATACATTTATCCAGCTCAATGTCGTCTCTTTTTGCGTTGAAGAATAACAAATAGCGAGTTACAATCACACTTTGGCCGCTCTCGCAAGCTCTCACTCGTTTCAATATGGTCAAGCGACTTTGGAGCAAGTGGTTAATGAAAAATAATAATCGTTAGCTTTCTTCTGGTATTAAACTTGTTTTGATTGATTGTATAATTATGTCGGAATAAAGGAAACAAAAAGGCCCGACCAATAACTTATCAGCGTCTGAATTGACCTTTTGACCTTGAATTCCCTGATGCAAGCGCACTAATGAGGTCATCTTCGCTAAATCGGTGTCTTTTATTGTAAAATGCAACACTTTCACAATGTTTATACACCTTTTTTAATTATTAGTAAGATATAATATATTTTTTCTGATATCACTGAAGTTTTGGGTTTTATTTAATGAGTAATTTTAAAATAAGAGCCATTTTACTGTTTTAATTTACTGGATCGTACCATTAAAGTCGCAGGGTAGAAAGATGCATTTCCAACCGCGCCAAATTTATTTTACGTTCCGACATTATGTTAAATGGGTTCGTGTTGTTACGAATCCACTGCTTTTTGCTCCAACAAACGTTCACATGCGGAGTCGTTTATCAACTAAATTATTCAAATTTGTGGATGCTTCCTAGCTTCCCAGGTGTTTGTGTTGCTGTTGAAGCATTTTATTCACCTGCTATCATTCTTTGTACTCCAATTGCCAGAACGCAAATTTCATTTTGGTTTTATAGTTTCATCGGAGTCGTTTATCAATTATATGTATTCAAATTTATGAATGCTTCCTCCCCAGGTATTTGTGATGTTTAATGCATTTCATTCACCTGTTATTATTCTTTGTACTCCAATAGTTAGAATACAAAATGCATTTTGGTTTTATAGTTTAATGCAATAAGTAAGTCAATAAAAGAGTATGTTCTGCACAATAAAAACAATGTGTGTCCCTATTGTACAATGTGATGTGTCCCCTCATTTTGTAATAGTTAATTTACCCATTTACATAATGGAACTACCTGCCCCGATGAAGCCAGTGGCATGTGACCCCTGAGCACTCAACACCGTGTGGGAGTCGGTTTGTTGTCAAATTCTTTTATGAGACAAATACAAGCAAACGTTTCCATATGACGAAAACAAAATTAAAAATAGGTATGTCGTCATAATGTTGAAATAACCCGAATGTGGAATAGTCATGAGCTCGGCGCATGATATCTTATTCCTCCAATCAGCTCCAATGAGCCTATTCAAGCGCAAAGTATCATATCAACTATTTCATTTTCATGCCATGCACATCAAAACTAATTTCAAACTACGATCGACCGATTTTGAAATGTATCCAGGAAAGATATAAAGTAAATCTTCAAAGCCGTAAAACTTAAATCCAATAGACTTTTAACTTTAAATCTTTCAGGGAAATAAGATTTTAAGTCTAAGGATAAACTTACTTTTATATTCAACGAGTTTTGTCACTAAATACATTCCGCCTTTGATTTAAAATATAGATCCTTGTAACCTAAAATGAATCCCAGAAATTAATAGAGTAGATAATGATATAATCCTTTGTATTTAAAAACGAAATTGACTGAACTAACCTTTGAGCAGTTATTGACGCGGTTTTCACAGCCAACCCTTGAAAAGAGAGTCGAGACCAAAATGGCGACTTGTGTGGAAGTGAAGTTCTGGTCGTGGTTTTCCTCAAAATCTCCCAAAACTCGTTGCGCAGTTATTTCCTGATCCAAGAGAAAATTTCCAACAACTGCAAAATATTCCTCTTCCAAGTCTCCATCGTGGTCATGGTCGTGGTCGTGGTCCTGTCTTCGATGTCGACGAAGCACCTCTTCCGAAGAAGACAGCAAAAGAGATTGGAGGAAAAGTAGAGAAAGTATGCCCACGACACTAAAACGAGTTGACGACGCCATTGCTGTTCTATGCTGTGGTTCGTTCAAAGTCTCCTGTGTAAGTGCGCCGGTGTGCAAAAGCTACATGCGATAGTACTGTGTGCAACGCCAAAGTGAGTTACTGCGGGGATACTGAATATACCTTCGTCATTGCACGCGCCACCGATCTTGGTTAGATAGGCCCATTGTTCCTCTATTGTTCATCTTCCCGTCTATTCAAAGTCTATTCGAGTGACAATTCTTGTGTACACTGTCCTGCTTCACACAATATTGCAAACGCGTATTAAACGTTGTTGAACTGAACTGGTTCTTTGATCAACAAAAAAAGGTATATTCAAAGATGCCTGGCTTCTATTAGAGCAGCCCGAACCCTTTCACAGTCCAAATGGGGATTAGAAGGAATCACAGTAGGCCTACACAGGGATAATCCGTAGTAGTTGGATATGAGAAGGAAAGTTTTGCAGCGACACTCTGCACAGGGCACAAAAAGCACCCTACCAAGAACAAAATACATCTAGTTAAAGGGATCCGGTAATCTTGACTTAGATCCTTTAAAACAATCCTGGATTTAGCTCATGCTGCAATGATAATTATAAACATTTAGGTCCGTCAGGAACCGCATGACTTTTACAAGCCGATCGCCTGTCTGATTATCAAGATATTTATGAATGAAAATCGAAATCAATTTGTTTACGTTTGCCAAACGGTTTTCATAACACTACAGTCTATTGGGGAAAGACGAGTATGGTAAAACCGGTCACTCAAAGTTTTTTTTTACTTTTTTGAGGCACTTCGATCTTGATCAATTTGAAGCACAATTTCTTTTAGGGCTTCAATATAACACCATATCACAGACCAATGGTGTCGATTTGTATCCATGGTTGGGGGGATGATAGGTGTCATTTTTTTCGGCAATGGATCAAAGCAACCAAGAGGTAGAAGCGTGTGGCAGGTTGTACCCCTCCCTTCCAAGTTATTAATTTTTTCAAGTCACCCTCAATAAAGATAACATTTTAGAGAATTTAAGAGTGGTAATAAAATGAATAACATGCTAAATGTTAGTCCAGACTCTTCCCTGCAGTGTATAGGCCTTAAGCTACCAGACTGATATCATCTATTTTTAAACGAAACATTTAGACATTACCCCAAAAAATCTAACGGTGAGGGATATCAACTTGTGAAAGTATTATGTTACCAGTGGGCAAATGCATTAATAAGCAACCAGGAAAGGTTCATGTAGACAGAAAATTCTTTATTTCCTGGTGATAGAAACAGGCATTTTATGAATATTGATGTCTCCAAACAACATTCATCATGAAAAACCCATTCCAATATTCTGTGTTAGGAGATCTCAAAAAAACATAGTTCTCATTAGTAAATGAAAAACATATTGCTTTTGGTTCTTCATTTGACTCTCTTCCTTCTTTAATTAAACCAACTGAATCCTCTCTGCGGGAATCTCAATTCAATGAAACAGAATATCACTGATGCAAAATTTGGTTCTTAAATGACAGAAAATTTCCACTCCTGATCTTATACAAACTGTACTCTGTTTCTTAAAAACATAATATAAAACTTACGTTCCAACTACCAAACAACAAACTTCCATTATCGCCTTCTTCACCCAGATATACTTATCACACCAGATACGCTCTAAAATATAAGCATAATATTCCCCTAAGGCCCTGACCAGAGCACTATTTTTTCTTCAAAAACTATAACCATCTTAGAAGGTGAATTATTATTGGAAGGGTGTTATAAACAAAACTTCAAACTTAATAACATTCTAACCTTCAAAAACACCTTAACTATATTATGCCTGTTACGTTTGAATACAATACATAATTATAGGCCTACATCAGCTTTTCGATGAAACAAAAATAAGTTGTAACATAATAATCTTTCTCCAAAATATCGAACTGGAGTATTCTGTTGTATTGCTTGTTTATGTACATACAAAGAGCTTATTTTCAAGAGGCACAGGATCCATGTGTGTAACTTAAAAAAGAACTCTTTGTTTACCCGATTTTGTTCAGGTGTTTATGGAAAGTTGTTATTAAAAGATGCATGTGTTCATAATTTCTCTCGTAATTTAGGTTAATGATTTTGTTCAAGGTAAATAGAGGAAAATGTATATCATTATCTCCATTTGCTATCAAAAGACTTTGCTTCTTTCGGAAAAAATAGCTCTTCAAATGTTTTACATGTAGAGATATAAATAAACAAAGAAATGGATGAAATCAATAAAACAAAATAGATACTGAGTATAAGTTAGGGAACATACTGTAAGTTTCTTCTCCTACATGCTGCCATTTGGACAAAAACCGACTTTCTCTTATCTTTCTTCCTTTTCTCTTCCCCCTTCCTTTGTTTCTTCTGTCCGTTTCTTCCCATTTTCCCTTTTTCCTACGTAGCAAGCCCAAATGGGGCCCATATGGGGATGATCCGGGTCACTTGTGGCATCTGGGCTAAATGGAACCCGCATCCCATATGGGGCCAAAATTTAGTAACCCATTATGGAATCTATCTGGGCCAGCCCTTATGGGTCCCAGGTGGGAATGAGCTGGGCGTACACATTATGGGTAGAATATGAATATGCCCATATGGGTAACACATGGGGAAAATCTGGGTCAACCCACATGGGATATATCTGTGTTAACCAATATGGGTACCAGATGGGATTAAGCTGGGCATACCCATTTGGGCCCAGTTTGGTATGGGTCCCATCTGGGTCCCATCTGTCTTATATGGGTTTACCCAAATGGGTCCCATATGCTTCTTGGGTGCATTTGCCTTAGGGCCCTAGATGGTTTTCCATATGCGGCCCATGTTTCAAAGAATATGGGACCCATGTGGGTTTGCTACCTGGGTTATTATCCTCTCTGTTTCTCATTATCTCTCTCTCTCTCCCACTCTCAACTTCTTTTTTGCACTTTTGCGCTTCGCGCTGAACATTAAGCTCGTTGCTTTTTAACGCTGCGGCTTTGCATTTGGCGCACTGCATTTCTATGATGCTGTTGATTGAATTTTATTTTATTTATTTATTTCTAATCTTTTGACAGGGTAGCCCATTCACCAACAAGTAGTGGTCTTCCATGGGGCCCTGAATGAACATATTTACATCGGTTATATACAGAACAGTTACAAAAATAATACTCGTTTGCAAAATAAACATATATCATTAACCTAGTAAACAGTAATGTCAATAGGAAAATATTAATTAAGTCGCAGTTATGTGAATAAGTCATGTTAATATTACAGAAGATGCACGTAATGTATGTTCGGCTGTGCCATTCACAAATTACAACTTTGTTTAAACAATCTCTTAAATGAATTGACAGAGGAAGCCGTTCTCAACGAATTATCTAGCTTATTCCATTCAAATATGGAAGAAACAATTGGGCTACACTTATAACAATCAGTGTGAAATCTAGGCACACGTAAACATCCACTGTCTATTTGCCTTGTATGATGCTCATGTACATCATTAGGATTGATTAAGCCTACCTGAAGGTAAGAAGGTGCTAAGTTATGAACGCATTTATATATCATCATAACGCGACTTAACTCAAACCGCTTGTCTAGTGTCATCCATTTCAGACTTGTGAACAAATCAGCCGACGGTGTGTCATATGTCTTGTTCAATATTATTCTTGCGGCCCTCTTTTGAATTTTTAGCAGCTTAGTTGTATGAGATTGAAATCTGTTCGACCATACAACAGAGCAGTAATCTAATCGTGGCAACACTAGACTGTTATAAAGTAACTTTAAGGATTTGTGAGGCAAAAAACTTTTTGCTCTCTTTATCATGCTAATGTTTTTCTGGGTAAGTTTACTTACGTTTTCGATTTGTTTAGACCATTTGAATTCTTCATCTATCAAAAGTCCTAAGCATTTGGTGAATTGAACTCTTTTGATCAAATCGCCGTTTAATGAAATGGTAAAAGATTCAATTTTCTTGAGATTAGCAGGAGAGCCTATTAACATGACACAAGTTTTTTTCAGTGTTAAGAACAAGACGATTTTCCTTAATCCATGCCATGACTCTGTTAAATGCAACAGTTAATTTTCTTCCACAACAGTTGCATCATTTGCACTGACGGTAAGTGTCGTATCGTCAGCATACATATCTATGACACCTTCAGGAGTACATTCAGGTAGACTATTAACATATATTGAAAATAAAAGGGGACCAAGAATTGAATCTTGTGGCACACCTAATTTGATGGTTGATGGATGCGACTTGGCTCCTTTGAATTGGGTCACTTGTTGTCGATCCCCTAAATATGATTTGAACCAATAAATAGTCCTATTACTACAACCTATACAAGCTAGTTAAAGATAAACTCCAGTACTGGTAAAAAAAAAAAAAAAAATTCTCACAGAATCAAACGAAACTTACACTGAATGTTCAAGATTACAAATAAATGACATGTGCCAAACAATTTTGGAAGAAAATGTATACTGGCTGAGTAATGAGCATAGAAAGACAAGGAAATCAAGGTAGTACTAGCCCCGACACCATGTGCGTTGTCCCATATATAGCTTTCTATGTGAGTGCTTGTTACTTTACCAAGACTCGGTCAAATTTATTATGATTTTGATGACTCCAGAACCTTGCAGTGCACACCAATACTTACATGCTACATGATCAACTGTTTCTGATCTTTTCCACACCTTTTCTTTCACAATGCAATCGCATTACCAGTACTAAAGTTTATCTTTAATGTAGAAGTAGCTCATGGTCAACAGTATCAAAAGCCTTACGAAGATCTATGAAGGCAACTCCAGACTTTTTTATCAATATTCAACGACTATTGATTTACAAGTTTTGCTTATGTCTAAAACCAGACTGATTAGGGTGTAATAATTGATTCTCGTCCAAGAATTCACTGAGTTGTTGGTAGACGGCCCTTTCTATAATTTTACTCACGATAGGTAATATTGAAATGGGGCGGTAATTATTCAAAGAAGAAATATCTCCAGATTTGAATATTGGTACTACCCGAGCCTTTTTCCATTCACGTGGAACAACTCCTGTAGACAGGGATTTGTTAATGATATCACAAAGAGACTCTGCGATAACATTCTTCGTCATCTTTAAAAGTTTACAGCTGATGTGATCTTCAATAGTTGCTTTATCTATACTCAGATTATCAATCTGTTTCAATACAAAATCCTCAGTAATCAAATTCAAATTAAATTGCGAATGAGTTGGACCAATATTATTGTCCTCGTCTACTCTCAGTTGAGACGTATTCCTTCGCAGGTC